CCCATACCACACAGTAATTCACAAAAGACAAGATCCGAGCAAACTGAGCGACCAGATCATGACTTCAGAAAGCTGCTCACTGTCAGTACTCCCCCAAAACTCCTATCATTTGTCTGTACATAAATGTAAGAATTATCAAAGAACTAAGTTTATCAAAATGCTGTTCCATCCATCATCAATACACCTTAACCCTCACTAGGGTCATGGGGGGCTGGAGTCTATCCCAGCTGACTCAGGGTGAAGGCAGGTTCACCTGGACAGGTAACCAGTCTATCACAGGGCTACACTTAGAGACAGACAACCAAGCACACTCACATTCACACCTTCGGAGAATTTACAATCACCAATTAACCTCTACATGTTTCTGGACTGTGGGAGGAAGCCAGAGAACCAAGAGAGAACCCACACTGCACGGGGAGAACATGGAGACTTCATGCAGAAAGATCCCGGGTGTCCTCACCGAGACGCAAACCGGCGACCTTCTAGCTGTGAGGCAACGGTGCTAACCACTGAGCTGTTCCTTTAAACTAATCAAAAACAGACAATTACACATCTTGTTTGCTTGCCAATTGGGTACAGAAGGCCAGCAATAATGAAGAGAACACTAAATTGAAGCATATGCCTGACTGGGTAACCAGGGAAAAACACGAGTGTGCGAAAACTAGACCATCAATAATACCACAGACACCAAAGACACAAAGAAAGGTTTCAGCTGGATTGTGCTCCCTAAATGCTCAACAACATAAAAGTAGTTTTACCTTTGTCTTGTCAAGTTAATGCTCATCAAAAACAGTCATGGCAAAGATTAATGTATACACACAGATGGAGATTTGGCCTGCAGGCTCTGCAGTTAAGTCTTTGGACAACTGATCAGAAGGACGGCGGTTCAAGCCCCAACACTAACAAGATGCCACCCTATCTGCTCCAGAGCACCATAATGTTGCTGTGAGCCCAGCTACCTAACAATCTGGGATACATTAGAAGACATTTCCTCCTTGTGATATCAATAAGCATCAATCAAAAACCTACATATAGTATATTTCATCAGTGTTTGCTTGTTGTGGGCACTAGGTAAAGGCACACCAAATCCAGGCAGCTTTAGTTTTAGCTTTAATTTTTGGCAGTTAAAAAATATATGCTAACGTTAATTCTGGTCAAGGGTCAATGACATGACGGCTATTTTTTCTGTCCAACTGAATTTTTTCCATTGAAAAAACACTCAAAATACAAAAAAAAGATAACATGTGTGTCTCGTACTTTCCCAGTACACACACCTACTCTAAGTTTTCCAATAATTTTAATTATTAATGTTTTACTGCTATCTGAAGTGATAAAACATCATGTGGGGTGACCGTCCAGCCTTGATTTCTAGTTAGACAACCAATTTCAAATAATTTTAAACCAACTTAAATATGTCTTTTAACTTCCTTGGCATAATTTCTAACATGTTTTGCATTCATTGACAAAATTATTAATAATTTGCATGTGTATTTCCATCATAATATACAAACAAATGTTGTCCTTACAAAGTCATATTATGAAATATCATCTGGGGCGACCATCAAAAAAGCACAATTTTGGGACTTTTATTTTGGAACCATGACAAGGACAGGATATTGTATCAGCCGGAGACATCTAAGGAACCCAGCAAGGCATCTTGGAGGTTAGTGAGTCTCTTTCATATTTGCAAATAAATCTGTTATTCAACTGATGTCATGTACTAGACACTTTCAGCTATCATGTGGGGCGACTACCTCAAAACTCTGAATAATAACTTTTATCTGTAAATCTATCTTTTTATGATAACTTTGATAGTGACATGTCATAAGAAATACATAGCTTGAGTTCTGTTGCTAACTGTTAGCCTGTAATATTTGAGTGAACTTGAAAACATCATCTGGGGTGACCAAGGATCATGTGGGGCGACCACTACGGAGTCATTTCCATGATTAGCATTATGTCCTGTATTTGTAGTTTTTGTATGTTTTATATTGTAAACATGATTTAAATACATAAATTTATTGTTAACCATCTAACTCTTTGTGTATTTTAACATATTTTTTATAAATTCAATCATTTTTCATTACCGTTTAGGAATAGACATTTATTTTGGATAATAGTAAAATCTTACACAAAAAGATGTAAAACTATGAAGCACAACAGTTTATTTAGGTAATGGTACATTTATTAGTCTTATTCAACTAATTTAACTTATTTTCTAGATGGCATTGACAAGCAAACAGAAGACAGCTCGCTACAGGCAGCGAATAAACTCAGACCCTGCAGCAAGAGCTGAATATCTTGCCAGGAAAAGAGAAAGGTATAAATGGTAACGCATTGTATTTCACATTTACATATTTGTATTTCAAATTGTCATGTTGGTAGGATCAGGGATGACCTTTTCTGTTATAGTTTGAACTTAAAGGAGTAGTCTGTACAATTTGGATAATTTTTCATTGGACCACTAAGCTACAGTGTTTTGTTGTATTTTGTCATTTGTTTCATTTACACTACTCACAATAAGTTAGGGATATTGTGAGAGACTCAGTGGATTTCATACATACAGTCTTTGTTCCAGAGATTTCTGGGACAGGGAGGCGATTGTATTGGGGTGATAGACACACCTCATTTTGTGTTTTCCATGTAATGGTCTCACTGTGTACAGTGTGCCTTACATATTGGGGCCAATACCAAAAAACTAAAAGACAATCCTTTTCAATGTGGCACCAATTTCAACATTCTGTGGGTA